AAAGACACTCCTCACATATTTGTAGAAATATGAGAGAGAAAGAGAGATGTGGTTTGCCTTCACAGTAGACTCCATCAACTCGTGGGCATTTCGCTGATGTTGTTGTTTAAACTACCCCTGCCACTCAGTCCACAGTCCTTGCAGAACTTGGCCAATAGCAGATGTCCTTCCCACAGAGATGCAGCCCTTCAGTGCTGTTGGACATGGGCCTGATTCAGTTTGGCTGCCATATCAGCACTGCTGCCCAGAGCACTGAAGTGTGTTGGAATGGGCTGTGTTAGGCTGATCGGGCTGCCTTAACATAGGACCACTCTGGGTGGTGTCAGAAGCAGACATTCATTTTCTCACTATTCCGGAAGCTCGGAGTGAGACAGGAGGCTGTCAGCAGGGCTGGTTTCTCCTGAGGGGGTCTTGCCTCAGCTTGCAGATGGCCGTCTTCTCCCTGTGTGTCACATGGACCCCCCTCTGCACTGCCATGTGTCCTCCCCTCCTCTTCCTAGGACACAGGTCACACGAGATTAAGACCCACAGCACTGAGTTCACTTCACCTTAACTGCATGCTTGAAGACGAACACTCAAATGCGGCCACATAGTGAAGTTCTAGGGGCTGCAAATTCATGGGATTAGGGGACCCAGTTCAGACCACAGTACATGTAGTATCCGCAGCTGGAGATGGACACCCACTGCTGGAAGAAGGACGTGCACATGGAAACTTTTCATGGCTGCAGGTGGCTTCCAAATCCAAAGGGCTGAAGCAGGGACATAGACAAAAGCAGTTTCTGATGATTGCCCCTGCCTTGCTCCCAGCCTGGCCCGGGGATTTCTCACTCATTGAAATTTTCACCTGTCCTGTCCGATGCCAGGTTGTCCAACTCTATCACAGTGTTCCTTCATTGGCAATTGCCTCATGGCTACTTTGAGTCACCTGTTCCCCTGTCAGCCACCACATAGATTTTCTCCTTCCCGAGTCCTCTGCTCAGATTACTGCCTGGTGATCACCTTGCTCCAGTCTGCAGTCTTCAAGCATTTGCCACCTTGCAGAATCTGGGATCTCCACAATGAGGTTCTCAAAAATGCCCTTTAGTGTAAAAGGATGAAACATGACTTTCTCCTTTGAAGTCAATGGTTTTCATAGGCCACGTCTACCGTGTACACGGTTCCCACGCTGGGGAGCGACAAGGCTCCCACACACTTTCCACCCAAGTCAGGAACAGATAATCAATCGTCCATTACCTGAGAGGGAATGTCATGTAGGACAGGTCCCAGTTCTGATCTGCATGCCCTTCACCAGACTTTTGATATCCTTAAGCCTCTGTGTTCTCAGCTCTATAAGGGGAGGTTTCTAGAGGACTCGTAGGGCCCATGCTCTTCATATAGACTATACCTACAGGAAGGTTTGCTGTTCTTTAGCTAAGAAAGAACATGTGGGTGGAGGAGGGGGAAGATGCCTAGAAGGTGACATTTGTATGAACATGCACAGAACTTAAGTGGCACTTTGAAGACCTAGAACGTCCCTCAGCCTGGGCGCTCCTGCCCCTCCTCTTGCACACGTCCCTGTGTGGCTGGGACCTCCCGAATGAGCTCCAGTCCTCAATCCTTGTGGGATTCTCGGTCACGCCGCTGACTCGATGTCCTCACTTGTCCCTCCCAGGGCGCAGCTGAGGTAACTGGTAACCTACCTGAGTCCTGCTGGATGCAGGACCTCCGTGAAGGCACCTTAGAGCAAGTGGCCACATCCATGGTACCAGCTCTCCTGGGGGGAAACGTCCCCCGGGTCTCCACTCTGGCCTTCTGCAGAGCCCAACAGTTCCTGGAGGAGCTGTTAGCTAGGTGAGCTCACACTCGTGACTCTGCCCTCTGCAAGCTGTGCGTCTTGAAAATGTCACCACATCTTTCTGAGTCTAAGTGTGCTCCTCTGAAAGGTGGGGTGGTGAGGGATAAGCCTCATAGCACTGCTGTGGAGAAAAGCCAAGGAAGGTCCTACCTGCTCCCTGGCTCTTCAGACAGGGTTGCCGGATGTGTGCCGGTGGTTTGTGGCAATGATTTCACTGTGTCCCTTGGAAAGAACTCTGACTCACCCAGCGGCGGCCTGTGGCATCACAGTTGGGAAAAACATAGGGAAAGCAGCCTGTCAGTCAGTTGGAGATTTCACCTAGCTGGTCCTCAGCCTTAGTGTAGCCACATGGGGGGTCTCGGGCGGGTAGCAGGGGCCCCAAGCCCACTCAGGTGGATGGGATGGTGCTGGTTGGAGTTTATTTACTCAACAATGTGTATGAAGCTCCTACTGCAGGCAAGCAGGTTTGGAGACGCTTAGGCCGACTCAAGGAATGAAGCAGACACAACCCCTGGGCCTCAGTTCTAGGCAGTGGGTCCCACAGTCACGCTGTCCATCATTCACAGGTCCTGTCCGCCGTCCATCAGAGCTGATGCCGTCAAGGTGCTTTCGACATCTGCAGGCACACCTCCTCATAAGGACCAGAGTGACACACCGCAGGACCAAGTCATAAAGTGAGTGGTCTCTGCGTCCAGAAGGAGGCCCCCCTGTGTCAGCAGAGTGGGGACTGTGAGTTGGGGGAACTGCCTGGCAGAACCCTGATCTTATACACCTTCTGATTCCCATGAAAGGCCTGAACTCTGCCGGCTTCTATTCCAGAAGGACATGAGTCAAAGAGGACAGAGGATGGGGTCCCTGTTCTTGTAGTCCCAGAGAGGACGCTGGGCTGAGTTGTGCCTCAGAGTCTCCTTCCCCCCAAGACCCATAGTCCTCTGTCTGCCCCTCTTTCCATCCACCTCCACTGACCACCGTGGACGGCTCAGAACAGGATGGTGGTGAGCAGGCAGCTCAGGAGTCTGTCTCAGTCCTCAGCCCAGATGCCCATGGGCATGGAGGGCTGGGGTGGGCAGTGTACAGGACATTCAGGAGAGCTGCCAGTGGGGAGAAGAGTCTCACACAGACTCCACGTTAAACCTGCTGGATCCCACACCTGCTACAAACAGAACAGCCACATAGGGGCTGGGTTTGGCATGGGGCTGTGCCCTGGATATGAGGGGGACTGCATAGAGGCTCAGTCACAAACAAGAGTGCCATGGGAGGGTAGAGTAGAAGGAAACACCAGAACTCTGACTTGACTGCCCACCTGCCTCTCCCCAGGGTCATTGCTTCGATGGTCGGGACCTGGCTGGACCACGTCCAGGGTTTTGGGCAGCCCCTTCCACTTGCCTTGTTGGAGGTAGAGCAGGCCTTGGTGCCCATCAAGTCCCCTGCATCACAACTGTTGGGCCAAACCCAAAATCTAGAGCTGGAGCATACTGAGCCCACCGAGGCAACACAGGAAGGTGAGGGGGACTGATAACCTGGGCACATAACCTGGGGAGGGCAGGCGTATGGGCTGGATTTCCCTTAAAGGCGCTGGCATCTTTCAGTGGAAAGTAACGGGAAAGCCAGGTGCGTGAGAAAATATCTCTGTCTCTCTCTGTCTCTCTCTCTCTGTCTCTCTCTCTCTGTCTCTCCCTATCTCTCTCTCCCTATCTCTCTCTCCCTACCTCTCTCTCCCTCTCTCTCTCTCCCTACCTCTCTCTCCCCCTCTCTCTCTTACTCCAGGTCTAAACCCAGAGCTCCGGAGCTCTCCAGAGCCAGAGGAAGGGGCTGCTCAGGAGCCAGAGCCTGGTCCGGCCATTCGCACTACCATGGCGCGGCCTGGCCTGAGGCAGTACATGAGGCCATTAAGGAGACAGGTGCTGACTCTGCTGGAAGCCTTCTCTGCTGCTGTCATGACAGTTCTAGGCGATTATCTTTAATAACTAAGAGGAATAAACCCCAACTCTATATTTATAATAGTAAATAATGATAATGTCCAATAGTACCTAGCTATTTATGTAGACTTTAATCCATTATATTAAGTACTTTCTTGAATAAATAGAAATAAAGTTGTGAATTGAAAACATGTGTTGACTTGATATATTCATGTACATATACATAATATATATAACATATATATAGATTAACACACACACACACACACAAACACACAAATGTACACACACACACATACACATATATGTTGAAATGGAAGGATGCTCCCTGCATATTACAGTTTTAAAATAATGTTTGAAACATTCCATTTTTTCTGGTAAGTATAAATTGATGAAATGGAGAAATGAAATCTGGAAATGTATGCATCAAAATGTGAACACTAGTGAACTGGAGGAATTGAAACTATACTAGAAGTAACAGTATCTTCTCCTTTTCTTACTTATATAGTTTCTGGTTTTACACTAGGATCATATATCCAATATATAAATATAGAGTGGAGAGAGGAAAGGAGAGGCAGAGAAACATCGATGAAAAGTGGGTCAGCTGCCTCCCGCCCACCCCTGAAAGGAACTGACCGCAAAACCCTGCCAAGGGCCCCCGTTCTGGGAACTGATCCGGAAACCTTTCAGTGCAAGGGGAGATGCCCACCCAAATGAGCCCCACCAGCCGGGGCTAGGCTAAATAGATATTTTAAAACTATACTTAGATTGATTTCAGGGAGAGCGAAGGAGAGATCAAAAAAATGCTGAGAGAGAATCATTCCTCGGCTGCCTCCTTCACGACACCCAATGATGATCCAGTCTGCAACCCAGGCATGTGCCCAGACCTGGAATCAAACCAACCGTGAACGCCTGCCTGGTTCACAGGGGGATCCTCAACCACTGTGCAACACTGGCCAGACTCAATCATATCTTTCCAAACTTTCCCGTGTGCCAATTTATATCTTCAAATGCTCTCATGAGGAGCAAAAATTACTTACTCGGCTGCTTTCCACTTCACTCGGTGTGTAGCTTAAGTTGCCATTTGGGCAGCAACAACCACTAGGATAACTGTTAACAATATCGAAAACCACTGGGGATGGAAAGAGCATTGCTTTGGTTGCAACAGGAATAATTCAAAATAACTCTCTCCACTCAACAGTTCGTTAAACATTTTCCTTCCCCAATGAGCCCCGAATTTTACTCACCAGTCAAACTCCTCTTAGCAAGAGGCAATGGTTCCACCAGCTCAGGACGGTACGGAAACAGGGTACACAGCCCTGGTTCTACCAGAAGGGCCATGCTTCACTGTCACCACTGGAACAACCTATAATTAAAATTAAAACCATTAGGTCAAAAACTTCTAAGCAGAAAAGGAAAAAGGAGTAGTAGGTGAGTATTTCCAAAGGAGGCATGCTGTGCAAGAGGGATCCACACAGTGCCATTGCCCAATCATCCAAAGCTCATCGTTCTCACGTGAACACTCTTGCTCTGACGATAGACACATTTCCTTTCTTTCAGTTTCTACTTGCTTTCCACGGAAACCGGCTGGTCTACACACAAAGCTAACACTGCTCAAGAGAAACCTAAGTGTCTAAGTGAATTTTAACCTTTACTTCATTTGAATTAATGAAAGTTTAAACTTAGAACGTTATACGGGTGGCCATGCTGCTGTGGCTCAATGCTTGAGCGTCAAACCCTGAACCAGGAAGTCCCAGTTTCATTCCCAGTCAGGGCACATCCCTGGGTTGCTGTCTAGGGGCTATGTGATCAATGAGGCTCTCTCATCATTGGTGTTACTCTCTCCCCCCACCCTCCTTTCTCTCCCTTCTGTTTCCCTTCCTCCCTCTGACATCAATAAACACGTAGATTTTCTTTTTTTATAAAGGTACATGTGGATAATATGGGCCCCATTAGATAGATTACTTCAAGACAAGGAAACAGATTTGAAAACAGTCATCCCTGAATCTCGGGACACCTTTCCTCCACATGTCCACAAAGAAGAAATGTATGGGGCCATTAGTGTTCACAGCAGAAACAGGAAGCTCACTATCACACACTTCCCAACTGCCCTGTCCCTCTCCTCTTCCTGCTCCTCCTCTTCCTCCTTGTCCTGCTAATCCTCCTCCTCCTCCTGGGCTGAGGCACCTCCTTTAGGAGCACTTTCCTACTAAAGGAACCCATGTCCCTTGCAGTCTGGCCTGTTCTGGCCAAGGGTTCACACAAGGGTCTCATAATTGATTTCAGAGACACTATTTTCCTCCCTGATAAAAAGCACAACAGCAAAGACAGAACTTTTTGTCTCCCTTGGATCCTGGGAGCTGTTGCTGCAGCCACTTTGTTGCTGGCAGCTTGCCCTGCTATCACTGAGCAGCTGCATTCAACATTGGATCCACCTACCCATGGATTGGTTATTTTGTGAGAAAAACACATCCCTACTGTTACTTTCATCAGTATTCTGTTGCTCATAATTCTCAGCTTCCACACTGAATGAGATCCTGAAAACTCCCCAGGATGGAGAAGGCTGTAGCATTTCATGTTAAAGCAAATACATACATACATACATACATACATACATAAATAAATAACCACAAAAACAAACTAACACACAAACACACACACACACACACACACGCAAAGCAAAACAAAACAAAGGAAAAAAAGAAACAGTATGGAAGCAGAGAGGAGGACAGAGGAAAGACCACATATGCCTGAAAGAACACCAGTCTTCCAACGACTCCAGAGGGAAACGTTGGCACATGGAGCATGACAATGACACAGCTGGGCTGGGTGAGTGTGAGGCCAATGAGGATCTCAAAAGTGTGACTAGAGAAAAGGGGTGAGGGGGAGACAAGAGTGGATAGAAGATAAGGTCACATCATGGAGGGCCTGGACAGACACACTAAGGATTTTGGACTTAATTCTAAAGGCCATAGGAAGCCATGGTATGTTTCCATAAGGGTCATGATCACATTTACATTTTCAAAAGATCCTTTGGGCTGCCAAAAGAGAAAGGTTAGGGACCCAGCGATACTAGAGGTTGACAAGTCAGAGAGAACACACGGTATCAAGAGGCACTGAGCCCAATGGGGTTAGTACTCTTGGTGCTAAACTTGATGGTTTCACACTAGAATGGTTGTATCAGGAATGTCAAGGTAGAAAGCTATCATGCTCATGGGACTTGACAGGTTATGTCTAGAAGTTATAATGAAGAAGTAAAAGAAGCCGTATCTCTTCTCAGACCAAGAGACTCTTAGAACAAAGGAGAGAACTTACCAAAACCAAGATTTACTAAAGTGGGGGGGAAAAGTGTGTAGACTCTTTGTTCCGGGGCACAGACAGACACACATACAGAGAGAAAGTGAGAGAGAGGCTGAGAGAAGGAAAGGACCTCAAGAATGGGAGAGACTATTAGAGAAGTGTCAGGACCTGACATACCATTTTTTTCTTTTTTCTTTTTTAATATATATTTTATTGATTTTTTACAGAGAGGAAGGGAGAGAGATAGAGTGTTAGAAACATCGATGAGAGAGAGTCATCGATCAGCTGTCTCTTGCACACCCCCTATTGGGGATATGCCTGCAACCAAGGTACATGCCCTTGTCCGGAATCGAACCCGTGACTTTTCAGTCCCCAAGCCGACACTCTATTCATTGAGCCAAACAGGTTTCGGCTCTTTTTTCTTTTCTTTCTTTTCCTGAGCCACCTAGCCTGATCTTCAGGACCTGCAGTACCGGCTGGACCCGGTAGGTGGCGCCCAAAACAGGGACCTGAAGATATGAGGAGAGGCTAGGGAGGCCGCTGCTAAAAAAAAGTTGCTGGCCGGCAGAAGTAAAAGTAAGTGGAAAGCGGCGAATTGGTGAGTGAATTCGGGAGTAAAAATGGGGCAGGCTTCTAGCTAGGATCTTTTTGTACAAGTGCTATATACAATAGCATGCTAACTTCCCGCAGTGCTTGTGTAAAGCATGGGACAACGTAAAAGTGCGCTTCAGAGCGAATGTTGAAGTCTATATGATTACAAAATAATGTTGTTTATTGTTGAAATTAGAATCTTAGTGTGTGTATGGAATTTAAAATCTGTAATAAGTGGAACTCCACTGCTGAAACTGCCTCTGATACAGATAAATTCAAAGGCAGCTGGAGAGGGCAGGGCTATCTGCTCTCCCACATTAAGATTACTTACAATAAGACTACTTAATACCTTGTTTAGAAATTATAAGAGAGGAGAAACCAAGATGGCGGCATAGGGTAGACACCCGAATGCAGCCTACCACAACAAATTTGAATTTAGAACTGAAAAACAGGGGAGGCATTGCCCTGAAGCACCAGACGGCTGGCTGAGAGGAGGCTCTGCCATCTGGGAAGGAGAGAGAAGGCACGCTGAACCTCAGGAACTGTGAAGGTACGGAGAACTGTGTGCGCGAAAAGGCGCTGGCTTAATCCCAGTGTGGAGAGGAAGGGCCGGACCGAGATTGCTGCTGGCTTACTCCCTGCATGCAGAGAGGGCGGGCCGGGCTGAGTTCACTACTGGCTTACTCCTGGCGCGGAGAGGGCGAACAGCTAACGCGGCTGGCTTTCTTGTTCGAGAGGAAAACAGAATCACCCTATTGCTCTGATCTTCGGCCCCAGACAGGGAGAGGCCAGACTGTCAGGCAGCGGGCAGAGATCTCTTGAAGATGTGTGAAGCCAGAGGCCATTACTGCGGGACTTGGGGAGGAGCCAAAGGGAAAACAAAGTTTGTCTGCACCAACCCGAGACTCCGCCCTACCTGTGGCTGAGCACAGAAGCTCTCCCAGTGGCTGGCTTTCTCTAAGGAGGGACTTGCAGGAATCCAAAGCTTGTCTGTGCCTTTACCAAAGAGGTGCGCGTGCCTGCAACCAATCTTCCAAAACTCTCCACAAACAGGACTTTTCTAAGGCGAGACTGACAGGGAACCAAAGATTGTCTGCGCCACCCCGAGACCCTGCCCTATTCAAGCAGAGTACGGAAACCCTCCTAGCTGAGACACTGCTGATCCTCACAGCCAACTGGCTTGGAGATCAACGCTTCCCAGTGATACCAACAATAAGCAAGGCTTAACAACAAGACTGCACTCACAGCCCACAAAGGGCTACACCAAGACTGTCCACCACAGGTAACTGGGAAGGCTGTGCTACTGGGCTCTACCAGAACACCTAGCACACAAAGCTATTCCATCAAATCAGGGAAACAACTAAAATGCAGACAAGAAGAAGGACACAAAGGAAGGAGATAGAGGAAAAGAAAAGATTGGACATTGAGTTCAAAACTACAGTTATAAGGTTATTCAACAATATCCTAAAAAAGGCCGATAAAATAAATGAGACCTATGAGGATATGAAAAGGGAGCAACTAGAAATAATAAGGGATCAACAAGAAATGAAGAAAACATTGTCTGAAATAAAAAATATTATACAAAGTCCTAAAAACAGACTGGAAGATCACAAGAATCAAGACAAAGATTTAGAACACAAAGAGCCAGAGGACACTCCTCTGCAGAAGGGAGAAGATAAGAGAATCCAGAAAGTTGAAGATAGTGTAAGAAACCTCTGGGACAATTTCAAGCGAACCAACATCAGAATTATGGGGATTCCAAAAGAGAGAGAGCAAGATACCGAAAGAGTACTATAAGAAATAGTGACAGAAAACTTCCCCCACCTGGGGAAAGAAATAGACTTACAAGTCCAGGAAGCCCGCAGAACCCCAAACAAAAGGAATCCAAGGAGGACCACACCAAGACATATCATAATTAAAATTCCAAGAGCAAAAGACAAAGAGAAAATATTAAAAGCAGCAAGAGAAAAGCAGGTAGTGACCTATAAAGGAGCACCCATAAGATTGTCAGCTGATTTCTCAACAGAAACCATGCAGGCCAGACAGGAATGGCAAGAAATATTCAAGGTGATGAATAACAAGAACCTACAGCCAAAAATAATCTACCCAGCAAAGCTATCACTCAGAATCAAAGGACAGATAAAGAGCTTCACAAATAAAAAAAAAACTAAAAGAGTTCATCACCACCAAACCAGAATTATATGAATTGCTGAAGGAGGTTATTTAGGAAGAGGAAGAAGATAAAGATAAAAATTATGATCAACAAATACGTAGCTATCAACAAGTGAATCTAAAAACCAAGGGAATTAAAAAATCTGATGAACAATATTATCTGGTGAATATAATAGAATCAGAGGTATGGAAGGGGAGTGGACTGACGATTCTCAGGGAAAAGGGGAGTGGGGGTGCGGGAAGAGACTGAACAAAAACTGTGCACCTATGGATGAGGACAATGGGGGATGGGGAAAGGACAGAGGGTGGGGTGGGAACCTGGTGAAGGGGAGCAATTGAGGGGGGGGAAGAGGATCACATTTGTAATAATCTGAACAATAAAGATTTATTTTTTTTAAAAAAAAAAAGCTAGATATAGAGACAGTAAAGCAACAAGCAGACTGTCAAATTACAGCGGAGAGGTTGGGGAGATCTGGGGGAGATAAGAAATCAACCGAAGGACTTGTATACATGCATATAAGTACAACCAATGGACACAAAACTCTGGGGAGGGAGGGTATGTGTGGGAGGGGGGATATTGGTACATGTACAAAAATAATAATTTAATAAAAAATATATTTAAAAAAATTATAAGAGAACTCGCAGGGAAATGCAAATCTTGGCCAAATTGGGTATTAGTTATTATTTTAGAAAGCCAAAAAGGAAAAAAAAAAAAAATGAGATCTGTCTATCTTTTAAGCATGAAAAGAAATTCAGCCAGATCTGTTGCTGATGCTTCTTCTGAAGTAAGCAGGATATGGGGGAAGGGAGAGACATGAGGCGATCCAATATAGAAGCCCGCTCTCCTAGTATATTAAATTAAAAGTTTCCTTTCTTGCCAAAAAAAAATTTTAAAAATTTAGAAATGCTTCTGGGATATCTGTGCACGTGTAAAGAGAAAGCTAGTATAAGACAGAATGCGCGCACATCCAATTTCGGATATTAGATAGGTCTTGAACTAGCCTTAACTCTTTACAAGGGCTACAGAAATGAAAAACCCAGAACTGATTCTTTTTCCTGAGAAAAACAGCGAAAAAATCTTCTTGAAAGAAATTCAAGCTAATTCCAGCAACAAGATTTGCATTTCCGTAATAAAGAATAGTTTTCAAAATGCTAGTGAACCTTATTAAAAAGTTAACTTTTAAGGCCTTCAAGAAAATAAATAAATTTGTCTCTGTCATAGAATTTATCCAAAGTAAATACTTTAAAATAATTATAATTGATTCTAGAATCTCAAAGAGATTATTGAAATATAAATAAATAATATATTAATTATAAAGATCTAAGTAGTCCAGGTAACTGGCTACATCCTTTGTTGAGGGAGGAAAGGGTAAAGGCCCTTCCCCCAGCACACAGTTAATATAGTGTCCTGCCAGTAGCCATCTTAAAGAATGTGATAATTTATAGTCGAATAAACAAAACCTAGTTTCCCAGAGCCACTGGCAAATAAAAATTAAAGTTTAAATTTGCCTCATAAAAAACCTAGAGGACAGAATTGAATTTATTAATTGATTATGTCTTGTATTTTTCTTAGAAAAATAAAGTGTTATTAATCTAAGAACTATCGATACTAAATATATTTAACGTGCCAGCTCTAAAAACTCAAAGAACAAATTAAATTATAGGAGAAATTATAGAGTTGTGGTGATTAAATACTTAAAACATAAAAACTTATTTTTAAGAAAATAAAATGTTATATTTCCTCTAATAATTAGGAATTCAAAATAAGTTTCTTATTATTGATCTAATTAAAAAGAGAATTAATTCTGTGATCTCAACCAAAAATTTTCTATGCAAAAACTAGTCTAAATCTAATTGATATCTTAAAATAATAATAGATAATAATAACAGGTATTAAAATATTTAAATCATATGTAGATATTTGTTTGATGGCTTTTCCTATGTTAAAATTTCAAGGCCTTACTTAACAGAGATGATTCTTGGAAAGCTTCAAGGGCCCGGAGTAATACAAGAAATTTATTCTCTCTTCTTATAGGAAAAATTTTTAAAACAGATCTAATATACTTGAAATTGCATGGAAAGCCTTATCAAATAAAAATTAATAGGTATATATTAAATATTATAAAAGTTTTCACCTGTAAGAAAGGCAAAAACAATATATTTCTTAAATATAGCCAAATTTTTCAACAGCAATAGAATTTCAAGAAAGACAAAGCCATGCTTCTGGATCAGACCAATAAAGTATCAAACCTATAAGTTTTACTGAATAAGTTTCTTTGCCTTTTTTTTTTAAATTAAAAATGCCTACCTAAGTTACTTTATAAACTGGCATCTTTCCTGTCAGTGGAAAGTCACTGGAAAGCCAGGTGTGTGAGAAAATCTCTCCCTCTCTCTCCTGCTCCAGGTCCACGACCGGAGCTCCGGAGCTCTCCAGAGCCAGAGGAAGGGCCTGCTCAGGGGCCAGAGCCTGGTCCAGCCATTGGCCCCACCCTGGCCTTGCCTGGCCTAAGGCAGTATCTGAGGCCATTAAGGAGCCAGCTGCTGGTATTGATGGAAGCCTTCTCTGGTGCTGTCCTAAGAATTCTAGGTGATTATCTTTTTTTTTTTTTTAATATATTTTATTGATTTTTTACAGAGCGGAAGGGAGAGAGATAGAGACCCAGAAATGTGGATGAGAGAGAAACATCAACCAGTCGCCTCCTGCACAGCCCCTACCGGGGATGTGCCCGCAACTAATGTACATGCCCTTGACCGGAATTGAACCTGGGACCTTTCTGTCAGCAGACCTATGCTCTACTACTGAGATAAACCTGTTTCGGCTCTAGGCGATTATCTTAAACAACGAAGAGGAATATACCCCAAGTATATATTTATAATAGTAAGTAATGATAATGTCCAATGGTACCTAGCTATTTATGTAGACTATAATCCATTAAATTAAGTACTCTTTTGAATAAATAGAAATAAAGTTGTTGGTTAAAAACATGTATAGACCCATTATATTCATGTACATATACGTAATTTCATATATGTGTGAGTGTGTGTGTGTGTATGTATACATATGTATGTGTGTTGTGTATATGTGTTGTCACAACACACAAACATATGTACACATATATGCTGATATGGAAGGATGCTTACTATATAATACGTTTTTAAAATAAGTTGTCAAACATTCAATTTTTTCTACTAATGAAGTATAAACTTATTAAATTGAGAAATAAAATCTGGAAATATATACACCAATATATTAACATAAAGGTTTACTAATGTGGTTTGGAAAGGATATTGACTCAATTTAAAGGTAGAATAACAGGTCAATAGCACAGACAGACAGAGAGACATAGACTAACATATAGAGGGAAAGTGAAGTAGATGCTGAGAGGAAGAAAGGGACCTCAAGAATGAGAGTATGAGAGAAGTAACAGGACCTGACTTCCCATCATCTCACCTGTGCTCTGCACTATTCAGAGTCCAGTTTATGATATAGAGTCTAAACTTAAGAGAAATACAAGCAAATGTCACTATACTGTTCACAAAATCTTTAACAACACAGATGCTTACCTCGATCAATTGTGCATACGTGTTCAGTAGTTCTGAAAAGCACTGTGTGATCCCTGTAGTAATGACATAAGTATTGTAAAACTTCAATTTTAAGTCCCTAAAACAACAAGAATATATAAAATAGAAATAACAAGGAAGGTGTTACAATGTTTTACCCCAACAGTTGGGATTCATCAATAGAGCTTTCCAAATTAAAAACTTACCTGTTAAAAAGAAGTTAATCAAATCTAGAATACTTTTATTCTATTTCTGGACTTTCCAGTGCCCATATGGTAAGTGCAACCTGAACTCCTTTCGCTAGACCCATTTTGTGGAGGTGAAACTACTGTAAACACACTGAGCTCTAAGTTCTCCTCCGTTACTTATTAGCCATGTGATCTTCAGCAAACCATCTCTAGAACTTCAATATTTTCTTCCCCAAAATGGGGAAATACCAGTTAATTCATTGTGAAGTTTTAAAACTAAATAAGATATGTGAAAAATACCAGACTCCACAATTAGGGTTGGAAATCATTTCATCACAAAATAATTTTCATGATAGTAATAACTTGTCCTAAGAGAAATCAAAACATTAAAACTGCCATGTCTCAGAATTCAACTTCAGTATCTCAAGGAAGATAACAAAAATTTTAAAATGTGCTGTAATCTTAACTCAGATGTTGACATTTTCATTCCATTTAATTCTCTTTATCATCAAGGGTTACAACACTCAAATGTGTGATCTTTAGAATTCAGTGCCAAACAGAGTGTTGGCAAGGCTGTAAAAGTGCAGAGTTAGAACCATCTAAATGTGGATCCACTAGGAGCCTGAAAAGACACAAAAGGTGACAGCACAGCGCAGCAGAGAGCCCACAGCTAGCCAAGCGTCCTGGTCTTGGAAATACAGTCAGACAGGTTTTCTCATCACTAAATGGGGATCATGACTCCCTGACCATGTTGACAACTTACTTAGCCAAACTGCAATTCTCTGAACTGTAAGCACCTACAGAAGGTAGGTATTGTTACAGCAGAAATGTATTGTTATAGAACTTCCTCCTCAGTGCAGCCAGTCAGCTTGTCAACATGAAATGCTCTGTGGATCACCCCCAGGGTTTAACATGTTTCCTGACTTCCTGCTGATCTTAGGACAAAGATTACTCACAGACCCTTACACAACCAATATCTTCAAACAATTCTGTTTTACAAAAAATGCTCTGGGTTCTTAAGAAGGCCAATTTCTGAGTCACTTGAGCACTCCTGGAAGTTTTCACTCTACACACAGTATTTACCTTGCCAACTGAACTAAGAGGTCAACAAGTGAATGAATTCCTTCTCCCATCAGAGTATTCAATGTAGGCTCCTCAAAGACCTGGTGAAGAAGAAAAAACATTGAAGGTATGTGAGAGATGAGAAGTGTAGAAGAATCCAGACTGAAATTCTGTGACAAGTCCTCATCCTTTATCTGAGAAACTTCCAAAGGACTCAGACATAAAGATCTGTTCAAAAGGTGAGGCTCAACCTTCTGGTGGTAGTCTGAATTCAGAAAATACTCCCAATCCCGAGAAGAAGGAACAGGTATTGATTTTTAAAGCATGCCTCCTTGTAATTAGGGGGGTGAGAGTGATCGGGGAGGGGTCGATGGGGGGAAAAGGAGACATATGTAATACTTTAAACAATAAAAAAATCAATCAAAACAATTCAAGTTCCATTTTCACATTAAGTGGATCTAAGAATATAGAAAAAAATCACAATGCTGGCCCAGCAGGTGTGGCTGAGTGGTTGAGCATCAACCCATGAACCAAGAAGTTATGGTTCAATTCCTGACCAGAGCACATGCCCAGGTTTCTGGTTTTTTCCCCAGGAGTAAGTGTGCAGGAGGCAGCCAACAGATGATTATCTCTTATCAACAATGTTTCTCTCTCTCTTTTTCTCCCTTCCTGTCCCTGAAATCAATAAAAAACATTTTAAAAATTAATCACGATGCTGAAAAATGAAAGGAATATCAAAATACCTACATGAATTCAGTGATATTCTAAATCCTCTGTTGTCATTCCCACAGTCTCCACAACACCTTCTCCAGATGTGTGACTAATGAATAATATAAAAATGCTTAGGCAAAACCACCATTATTCATGGCTCCTTATTTTGAACAACAAAAAAAGAGGTATACTTTTAGAATTTAAAAATTGAATAAAATTCCCAAAAGAAACTTATTGTAGGCTTTTTCAGACTTATCCTGTCATATAATAAATGTCTAAAATTAAAACAAAATGCTTATCTAAGAAAATTGCAGCTAAATAATAGCCTATTAACAAATACCGTGTTTCCCTGAAAATAAGACATCCTGCGAAAAATAAGACCTAGCGCATGGAAAGATAAGACAGCCCCTGAAAATAAGACCTAGCGCAACTTTGGGAGAAAAAATTAATATAAGACACTGTCTTATTTTCGGGGAAACAGGGTAGTATCTAAATAAGAATTATGGTGAGCTAGAAGGGGACAATAAAAAAGAGGGGATATTATAATATTTTCAAAAGGAAATATTTTAAAAATAAATAAACACACACACAAAATCTCCTCACCAGCTCAACACATGCACAAAGGGAACAAAAAAAGCAAGGTAAAGTAAAATTAGACAAATTAATGATAAATATTATAAGGAGATAAACTATGTGTGCAAATAAATTTTATGTTGAATAGACAAAAATTTTAAAAACTACTAGATAGAAGTCTTGCCACAAAAGTGACCTCAAACAGAGGCTCAACCTATATTGACCCTATGTCCTATATAAAACTAAAGAATATCAGATGAACTATTCATAATCTACATATTTCTTAATGATCTTATCATTCTTAGACATTCCTAGACTCACTTCAGAAAAAAATCTTTAGAGAAACTATTAGCTGATATTCTTCTTTAAATAAAGGTTTTCCTTTATTAACTGGAGATGAACCAGAAAGCTCCTAAAAAGGCAAGGCAAATACTTTATTACTAATTTTTATTCTTTTTCTTTAATCAGTTAGAAATATATATAGTTTTTATATATAAATAAATATAGATATAAATTTATATATAAATTTATGAAATATAATATGTATCTATATAAATCGACTGAACGGTGGAACAACCATTGGAACGACTGAACGGTGGAACAACCATTGGAACGACTGGTTGCTATGATGCACACTGACCACCAGGGGGGCAGACACTCAATGCAGGAGCTGCCCCCAAACCTGCAGGCCCCAGGCCAGCCAAGACGGGTGCCAGTGAAGGGCCCTTTTTCACCCCTCTGGATTGCCCTGCCAGTCGCCCTACAGATCGTCCCTGATCATCGGCCAGGCCTAGGGACCCTATCTGTGCATGAATTTCATGCATTGGGCTTCTAGTCTATATAATAAAAGCCTAAACGACCATTACGGCAGAACAACCAGAACACTGGTCACTATGATGCTCACTGACCACCAGGGGGCAGACGCTCAACACTGGAGCTGCCCCCAGTGGTCACTGCGCTCCCACAAGGGGGATGCCTCTCAGCTAGAAGCCGGGCTCACAGATGGTGAGCACAGCAGTGGTGGTGGGAGCCTCTCCCACCCCCACATTTAGTGCTCAGGAGCAGAGAACCAAGCAGTAAAGAGCACTGAGCAGGTGGGTAGTAAGGAGCGAAGGGCCCCAGACTGCAAGAGGGTGCAGGCCAGGCTGAGGGACCCCCTTCCTCCAGTGCACAAATTTCATGCACCAGGCCTCTAGTATAAATACATTTTTTATTGACTTCAGAGAAGAATAGGTAGAAACATCGGTGAGAAACTTTGATTGGCTGCCTCCTGCATGCCCCCTACTGGGGATCAAGCCAGCAACCTGAGCATGTGCAATGATAGCAAATTGTTTTGTTTTTTTCCCCCTTTCTCTTTTTCTCCGAGTATTTTTACTATGAACCTAATTTTTACTTATTCAAATGCAACCAAATGTAATCATGTGTTAATTCTTATTAAAGGCCTGGTGCATGAAAATTCATGCATTGGGGGGAGGGGGGTCCTCAACACAGCCTACTCCCTCTTGCAGTCCGGGTTCGCCTTGGGGGATGTCCACCGGCCAGCTTAGGCCCACTCCCCTAAGCCATTAGTCGGACATCGTTAGCGCTGCCACGGAGGCGAGAGGCTCCAGTCCCTGCTGCTGTGCTGGTCAGCCATGAGCTGGCTTCCGGCTGCGCAGTGCTCCCCAAGAAAGTATACTGACCACCAGGTGGCAGATGTTGAGCATCTGCCCCTGGTGGCCAGGGAGTGTCATAGTGACCAATGGTTCTTGGTTGTTCCTCAGTTAGTTTGCATATTACCCTTTTATTATAGAGGATACCCTTGAATATAAGTCTTATAAAAAATTTTTGACGCCGAAAGTGGTTTGACTCAGTGGTGGAGCTTCAGTCTTCGGACTGAAGGGTCCCAGGTTCGATTTTGGTCAGGGGCATGTACGTTGGTTGCCCCTGGTCGGCAGCTGGTCGGTGTTTCTTTTTCATCGACGTTTCTAGCTCTCTATCTCTCTCCCATCCTCTCTGTAAAAATCAATAAAAGTATATTTAAAAAAAAATTTTTTTGACAATAACTAATTGAATTGCTCAAATGTTTAAACATTACCATTAAATTGACAAAGGACAGTGTAAAAAAGTGATGATATAGAAAATAAATTAAATGTTTATTTCCCTACCATTATCTTCATTACACGTTAAAACAAATACCTAACTACTGGGATCATTATACTTTTTTCTATTATTATTTCTATTAAATTTTAAGATAAAAGCTTTTTAAAAAAATATTATTCGAGCCCTGGCTGGTTTGGCTCAGTGGATGGAGCGTCGGCCTGCGAACTGAAGGGTCTCAGATTCGATTCCAGTCAAGGGCATGTACCTTGGTTGCAGGCACATCCCCAGTCAGGGGTGTGCAGGAGGCAACTGATTGGTGACTCTCTCTCATCAATGTTTCTAACTCTCTATCCCTCTCTCTTCCTTTCTGTAGAAAATCAATAAAATATGTTAAAAAATTATTCAATAGTCAATCAGATACTAAAATTCAAATAAACTCACCTGTTGAACAGGACTGTCACTGTAAAGGCCTTGTAAACAGCCAATGCCTGGCTTTTCCTTCCTTTGCTCCAGATCACCATATTTCCAGCCACATAAGAGTTCCTCATCATAATCCACTTCTCCAATTTTACTTCCGCCTCTCCTTAACTGCCAGCTTTCCTTAAAAATTTACCTATGTAAGACATGTTTAAGTACTATTTTTATTTCTTTTGCAAGAGTATGGAGCAAGGTTTATTAATTAAAATTGAACAGCAATCCAAATACAAGTCTCCTACTCTCTGTCTGTGGAGTAAGACTCAGTTCAAATCCAACTCTTAGATTTAGTGTCACTGATTAACAGAGGAGAGGGATGTGAGTGTATGTATTATACCATATCTAATAGGATTTCAAAAATGAGAATTTACTCAAGAATTCTCTATATTAAGTGTTTTATTATTACATGACCATTTTATAATGCCAAAAATATAAACAAAAATTAGATCTTACCTATATATCCAAAAATTAAACCAACATTCTTGGGAGACTAAAGTATATTGGGAGGGGGGTGATTCAGAGGCGGCAGTGAAGTGCACATGGGTCACTGGGGGAGCTTACCCACCATGCAGATTTCTGTACTTCAAACTGTATATACATTCACCTTCCTGCCCTTGTCCCAACTGTCAAAATGGACAGGGTAGAGAAAGGTTTAGATTCCTAACTACATAGACTTCCACTTCCGGAAATTTTGGTATCCCAATAAGGATACAGAAATGGAATTAAGATGAGAAAGATTGACTGTTTAACATGCACTTACTTCTCATTACCCTATTTAAAAACTAGTACCTTATCTACTTATGTGGCATTTCTTTTCTCCTATAGAAACTAAGTTTTTGGCATCTGGGACTATTACCAACTCTACTATCTAACCATCAAATAACATGAATCTGGTTCCCACATACTAAGTGAAGAAAGAGGTTTTAAATGGACTATAATCATAGTGATTCTCATTATAAATTCCTGAGTTATATGACTAAATAAACAGCCATGAAACTATAATACAATAAGGTCATTATTGAAATATAGTGGCAACCATACTTTGGTAAAAATGGCTGTTGGAATTTTAAACCTGCTAAAGCAATTTTGCTATGCCTGGGGCCATAACTTTTGGAGATTAACCACTGAGTTCTGTTTCTGCACGTTTCTGCACGATAGGGCCACATTCCAATGTCCAGCAGGATGTGACTGGGAACGACCCTGAGGGCTGACCTGAGGGCTGACCTGTCTTTAGGATTTAGAATTTAGAACAAAGGAAAATTTCTGTGGTTTGAACTGTTTCAGTTTCCCAGCAGTCAGATCCTGCAGGGGGAAAATTTGGAGAGACTTCCTTTGTTCATTGCACGTTGGGCTTAGGGAGGATGAGTTCAATTTCTAAGCAAGGTTACAGGTAGAACTTTCTTTTTCATTCAAAAGCCAGCCCTATGTACACTTAGCGATTATCTCGATGCTGGCCTTGAAAACAATGCTGTTCTATCCAATTAAAAAAAAAAAAACGCACCTGGCATGGTATTGAGATTATGGGCATATCTGGTCTTTGGCCTGCAAGGCCAGACAGCTAAGTTTATCTTCATCATCCTTCAAACGGGCTAAAGCAAACTAGAAAGCAACATTTTATCTAGGAAGAACAGCAGAAAATTCCAAACAAGTTTGTTGTAGAATGAGGGTTTTCCCTCTCAGAACCTTTAAAAATAACTACCTGCCCCTAAATCCTCGTTTGGAGTCTGCCTGCGTGTGGTGCTCTTGTGGCTGCCCTGGCCAGTTCAATAAATTCTTGCCTGTTTTTTTTTAAATAAATCATCAGCTTCCAGTGGTCTTATTTTGAACCCAGGGTTCGACCCAAAACAATTATTTTTAGCTTTGATAAAAATTACCAAATCTTAACCTGTACCCTTCTGCTAAGTCAGTTTTGAGAACACTTAAACATGAGACATGACTGAGATAGTGCCTGTGGGAGTACAGGGGAAGCCACCCATTGTATTCATTAGCAGAGAGGTGTGGGCAAGGAACCCAGAAGGCTGGTGACCCTTGAGTTCTGGCAAAGGTCAGGGCTGTACACCCACTGTTTGGAACAGACAATGGGCGCTGAAGAAACTTCCTGACCAGACAGTTATGTAAATCCTTACTGATAAGATAGTCTGCTGGTTACTGGAACTTGCATAAGGGCTAAGGGTGTATCCCAAATTGAATAAAAACTTGGCAAGGCCATTGCTCAAGTGGAGTCCTTCCTATTGAGCTGGGCTCCCACCTGGTCTCCCAGTATTTCCAAGTTATTTGTCTTGTCTCATTTGCGTGGCCCCTCTTCCAGAGCCCGAACCCTGAACCTGAACCACATGGGACTTCACAGGGCAGCAGGAGGAACCCGAATGCATAGAGGAGCCAGGTCTGAGTCTGCGCAAAAGGGCCGCTTCAGGGCCCCAAGGGGGGCGAAGGGGGGGAGGGGGAGGCCCGCAGGCGGAGCCTGGGCCTCACACAGCCCGGCCCAGGGGCGGACACAGCGCCCGCTGGGAAGGGGGCCGAGGGGCGGCGCGGAGAGAAGGGGCGCCAAAGAGCCCGGCCCCCAGGCCACGCCGCCCGGGCTCCGGGCCGCCCTCCGGCCCCGCGCCGCCCGCTGCGGTCGGGTGCGGGGTCAGGGACACGCGGCGACCGGCACTGCCGCCCGCCGGCCCCTCTCCCCACCTGAGGGACTCGGGACGCGGCAGGCGCGGCGGCCCGGCTGCGCCCCCGGGGCAACAGCAGAGTCGGTCACGGGGACTCCGTCCCCAGCTCCAGAGGGAGAGAGAGCAGCAGATAAGGAGCTCCTGCGTTAGCTCCCCGCTCTGAAATCAAACGGAGGTGCCGTCTTGGTGTCCCGTCCTGCTTTGCGCCGGGCCCGGGGGCGGGACTTGAAGGTCTCGCGGGAGGTGCAGCAGCCCGAGTCCCGGCGTCCGCCCGGCCCGCGGGGAAGAGTGGGGGGCGGAGGGGGAGGAGGGGGCCATTTTCACCTCCTTCCCCAGCGCAGAGCCCAGAAGCAGGACCCAGTCAGCGGAGTCTGTGTTGTGACAGGACCTTCCTGGCCTCTACATCTTCTCCAGGTCCCGTCACTATGGGCCTGAACTGCCTCCTGATTGTGAACTACCACCTTTCAGGACGGTTTTGCTCACTCCCCAGTGGGATTGGGGAAGTGAGGGGCATGCTGATTTTCTCTCTTTGCTAGTGATCTTTACCCTGTAGGCCAGACCCTTGGAAAAGTTGAGGAAAGACATGGATGCCCTCACAGAAACATTGAGTGCAATTTCTGAGCTTCACAGACACACACCCCCAGGCGATCCCTAGACCTGGATTAAGAAACCCAGATTTACCCTGTCCCGGTCCCCTTCGTGGATTTAACTACAATATCACATTGATGGAAACTAGAAAACGGTCTTGAGCTCTACTTTACCATTGTGTGGTATCTCTAGGTTAAAAATATCAATGGAGCCCCAACCCATTGTTCAATTGGTTGAGCGTCCTGTACACCAAAAAAGGTGAGTTTGATTTCCAATCAGGGTACATACCTAGGTTGCAGTTTGATCCCAGGTAAGGCGGCATGCAGGAGGCAATTGATTGAGGATTCTCCCATCGATGTGTTGGGGTTTTTTTTTTCCTCTCTCTCTCTCTGTCTTCCTTCCTCTCTCAAATCAGTAAACATATCCACTGTATATTCAATAGACAACTTATGGCCTAAGAAATAAAGTTTGAATTCTTTTTTTTTTAATATATTGATTTTTTTACAGAGAGGGAGAGAGTCAGAAACCAATGAGAGAGAAACATCGATCAGCTGCCTCCTGCACACCTCCTACTGGGGATGTGCCCACAACCAAGGTACATGCCCTTGACAGGAATCGAACCTGGGACCCTTGAGTCCAAAGGCCGATGCTCTATCCACTGAGCCAAACCAGTTAGGGCTAAAGTTCAAATTCTTTATTCAGAAAAATAAAATTGGCTGAAACTTTATATCTGCACTAAGATGATCTCCTGAGAGTCCCCAAACATTCCTTGCACTTCGTGGTCTTGCTATCTGGGTACATCCTCATTTCTTTATTTGGAATGCCAACCCTCAGGGTTTGACTCCAATGCCACTTCTCAGAAGACTTCATTCCAAGAAGGAGCTTGCTGAGAGGACTGAATACTTGTGGGCTTGGCCCCCCTCCCCCTCCCATTCCGATGTTGAAACCATGTGCTGCATGTGCTGGTGTTTGGAGGTGGCCCTTCAGGAGGTGCTGAGGGCATGAGAGTGGAGCATTCATGACTGGCATTAGTGCCCCTTCCACAAAGCGAGGACCCAGTGAAGGGAGGGCTGTCAATGAGCCAGAAAACAGGCCCTGAGCAGACACTGAAACTACCAGCACCATGATCTTGGACTTCCCAGCCTGCAGAACTATGAGAAAGAAATTGTTGCTAATAAGCCATGCAGTTTATGGTATTTTTGTCAGAGTAGCCCAAACACAGTAAGACAGAGTCACTCATGAGTGGCCTGCCTTTCTCTGTGGTCATTTCCCTAAAACCAAAAGACCCACACATTTCCCTGGCCTGAGGATACAGGGGGCAAAGTTTGATCCCTAGGAATAGGGCAGGAAGGGGCCAGATAAGTCTCATTTCTTCTCCTTCAGGTGCACTGCTCTGAGGCACGTTTCTCCACTCCTGTCAGATGTGCCGTGTGACTGAGTGGGCACACCTGCCTCGCAGGCGGCTAAGGTCCTGGCAGCCTGTGGCGATGCAGTGCCAGTGCTGGGCTTCTCATCCTTCCCTGCCTCCTTCCCCTCCCCACCAAACAGGCCCAGCCTGTCCTCAGGACCCAGGGCTCTGCTGCTCCGTCTGTCTTCACACCTCCACCGGGACTCCCTTCTGCCTGCCCCAAGGATGAGGATTGCCACAGGCCAGGGTAACAAAAGGGCTCCAGCCCCACCTCCTGTGCCCACAGAACCTGAAGCCCTCCCTTAGAAATGACCAAGAGGAGGGCCTGGGGGAGCTGGGTGCAGGATGGATATGGGAGTGGGGCTGGCCTGGGACCACTGACCCTGTGATTTGCCCAAAGGAGGTCCTGAGAGGTGTTCAAGAGGGGTTCCCAGAGAGTGAGGGAGGAGGCAATTGAGTGGAGGCCCTCAGGCACCTGGGCTGCTCCACATGAGAACCCTTCAGGAGGTTGAAGGTGGGAGGTTTTCACGGGAGGGTCTGTGGGCACCTGAAAGCAGGGACTTAGCCCACCCTCACCCTATTTGCCCAGTGTATTCCCTTCCTTGGCAAATTTCTGACTTCTCCTGAAGATACTGGACACTAGACTAGGATAGAGGATTATCTGGACGTGGGTGACTTGTGGGCCTGAGCTGGGGTGACCAGGATTGGCCTTTGAGGACAAAGAGTCCCCATGTTGAATCCTGAGGTCTCAGCACAGTCTCCCCTGGGACCTGGGGCATCTTTCCCATCATAGTGATCCATGTCCCCGTCCTGTGGAGCCCAGAGCCTGGCCTGGGTTCTAGTCTTGTCTTTCCCTGTTTCTCACAATGGGTCCTGGCCAAGGGGTTCTTTCTGATGGACTTTGGCTGTCTTCCAGGGGAATCCGATCAACCTCAAAAAAAGGAAAAGGTGAGCAGCTGTGGCCCCTCTTGGAGCAAGGGAGGAGTGACAATCAGAAATGCTGATGAGGCAGCCATAACAGGCTTAGGCAATGGTAGCTATGGCAATAGGTAGTGGCCATCAAAGTGAATGACCACAATGGGGCCACCATTGATATAATCCCAGGAAGTAGCAAGGACTTGAAACTCCAGCCTCCAAAGTAGCCTCGACAAGGTGAATGATGGGGTTTAGTGTATAAAGAGCCTGCACCTGGAGTGGGAAGTGTGTTCTCAACTGTCCCAGAGGGTAATGCTGCTGCCCAGTGATAACTGCTTGACCATGTGCCCGAGGTGCTGCTTTCCTGGCCTCTGTCACTGCCCACTGCCCTCTAATGCAGTTTGGTGGAATCTCTCAAATCCTTGTCCCCGTCTGGTTCTGGGAGAATCCAAGTTAGACAGTGTAACGTGAACCAAGGATTATTCACAAATGACCGTGTTCCCAGCCATAAAGTCTCCCCATGTTTCAAAAAAAATGGAAATCATGTAAAACATGTTTCCATCCCAAATGCAAGATGATTAGAAAAATTTCCACATGTTTAGAAATTAAGGAACACAATTTTAAATTTCTGTATCTGAGATAAATTTAAAAAAGCAAAATAGAAAGTCATGCTGTGTGAGAAATTTAAGTGCATGTATTAGAAAAAGACTGAAAATCAGTGAGCTAAACAATCACGTCAAAAAGGCAAAAAACAAACAAACAAAATAAAAACAACTACTCCCCAAAAACATAACATTAAATCCCAAAAGGAGGAAATAAAGAGAAGAAAATTTAATATATATAAAAAATAGAGACATCAACAAAGCCAAAACCCGATTCTGTGAAAAGGTTAATAAAATTGAAAGTCCTGTCAAGATGACGGGAAAAAAAAAAAAAGGTACAATAACCAACTTCAGAAAGGAAAATGGGGCTTTCACTAGATTCTGTAGACCTTAAAACAAGAGTTATGATATTTTTAACAAATTTATAGCAATTTGAAAATTCCTATCAAGTGAAAAACTCTTATAAAAATAGTTCACCAATACCCAGGAATGGAAACTATGAAGTTTTTATGGTAGTTTAAACACAGGAAAGAAGTCTTTCAAGCTAAATGCCATTGAGAGGTGCTGTCCCCTCCACCCCCCGTCACTCCTGTCTCAGGGCTTGCTTTGACCAATGGTGTGTGGTACAGGTTTAAGGCTTCCATTTGGTTCCCCTGAACCCCTGAGGTCACCACGTGGGGAGCTGATCTAGCCTACTTGAAGATATCCTGAAATGTAGTCTCGATCTTGTCTTGTCTGTTATCACACTTCTCAGTTACATGGAGCAGAACCCACTTAGGCGAAGTGAAGTTGGCCAAAAACATGCACAGAAACTGGAGGGATCAGTAGACAACCCAAGGAAACTGGAGCTGGAAACAAAAGCCACCAGATCTCACAGCCCTTCAGGGACTGCATTGCTTCCTCCACCCTGACCACTTGGACTTACACCTTAGCTCCCAGGCCAATTGCCTTTGTCTTAAAGATCATATCCCAGGACACAATCTAGCTTATTTTTCCCAAGCCAGGGCACAAGCCTCAGGCTTCAAATGGCCAGTCTAGTCAGCACTGGCAAGTCACTTCCAATTTCTAAAGATTTGGAGTCACCTCCAGGGGAGCAACAGGTCTGAATGGTAAATCTGGGTACAGGCATGCAGAGCTTAGCACTCTGGGGTCCCCCTCCTGTGTGCTGAGTGCTGCTCAGGACTCTTCTGATGGCAGGAGCCGCTCAACCCCACAGTGCAGGCTGAGTTGCCCCTTGGAGAGTGAGGGATGTCCTGTGCCGTCTTCTGGAAGTCCCAGGGAGTCTAGGGCCCTCAAGTGCTGAAGGCAGGAATCAAAGCCTGGTGTACACAGTCTTTATTTATTGAGTCCCGATGTCCAGTGACTGGGGCCATATCCAGGGCCCCCAGAATAGCACCTGTCAGTCACTCTTCAGGGCTGGGGGCAGTAAGTGGCCAGTCACTCCTGTCCAGTTTTCACATAGTCCAGAGTCCTCAGGAGGCAGGAAGTGGCTGTGCCTGTGGAAAAACATCATCATTTCCATCTCCCCAGTGCCCGGCCCTGGGGAGATTGTGTAGATAAAGCAGAGGGTGCCTGTTGAGCCCATGAACATGGGACATAGTGAACTGTCACTGGGAGCAAGGAAGGCAGCTTTGCTGCAGGCACTGAGCACCTATTGTGTGCCTGGCACTGCTACAGGTTCTGGGGACCCAGACTGGACCCAGGCAGGCACAAGTCTCCGACTCACGAGGGATAGACAAGTGGACAAAAATATTCTGACTGAATATCTACCGAGAAAACTAAGTCAGGGTAGAGAAGTGTGTGGGGGAGATGTAAGTGGCCCTTCAAACTGTTCAGCATACTTTATGAGATGGGGACGGGAAGGTGGGGTTTTTATTATTCAGATGCCCTAAAACCTTGGGGAAAAACATCACCAACATATGACTAAGAAACTAGTGTGAACAGCATGAACTTGTCAAGAATATTTCCTGAGAAGAATTTTTTTTTAAAATATATTTTCTTGATTTTGTACAAAGAGGAAGGGAGAGGGATAGAGAGAAACATTGATGAGAGAGATCATCGATCAGTAGCCTCCTGCACACCCCCTACTGGGGATGTGCCCACAACCAAGGTACATGCCTTGACCGGAATCGAACCCGGGACCCTTCAGTCCACAGACTGATGCTCTATCCCACATGTGTCAAACACAAGGCCCGCGGGCCAAATCCGTCCCGCCAGGCCTTGCAATGTGGCCCGCACCGCGCTGTCATCACTGCACTCCGCTGCGTTTCCATCACAATGACAGTTTATGACTATTCAGTAAACCATTCGGCCCGCGATTTAGGCTGGATTTTAGATTTTGGCCCCTTCTCTGATTGAGTTCGACACCCCTACTCTATCCACTGAGCCAAACCGGTTTCGGCTCCTGAGAAGAATTAAAAGTCCTTTCTACTGAGAGTTCTTGGGGCCTGAACCGTTCGCTTATTCTGCCTCATGAAAACACAAGACAGGTCCAGGTGACAGGGCTTCTGCCCCAGTTTCAGCAAGAACTTCTCTGAAATAAGCGATGGGAGGGCAGTGGTTACAAAGCAGTGGCATATAAGCCGTAATTAGGGAGTCAGGGACTGTGGGAGCCCGGCATAGGGAGGGGCCATCATAGAGGTTTTCTTTCTTTCTTTCTTTTTTAATATATTTTATTGATTTTTTACAAAGAGGAAGGAAGAGTGATAGAGAGCTAGAAACATCAGTGAGAGAGAAACATCGACCAGCTGCCTCCTGCACATCCCTCACTGGGGATGTGCCTGCAACCCAGGTACATGCCCTTGACCAGAATCCAACCTGGGACCCTTCAGTCCACAGGCCAAAGCTCTATCCACTGAGCCAAACCGGTTTCAGCCACAGAGGTTTTCTGAGGGAGGTGAGCAGGACTAGGTGGCAGTCCAGGTGGAAAAAACAGCTAGATAAAAACATGGCAGCAGGACAGACATGAGGTCAAGTAAGTTCCCATTCCTTGGATCTGGAACCACAGGACTGAAGGAAGGGGGAGGGCCCGTAGGCAGCACCAAGTTGAGACCTGGTCTATGAAAAGGGTTTTAGTAAATCAGAACCCCGTCTGACTGGCTCGTAACACTCAAAGACCATCCCAGAAAATGAATGGTTTGGAAGGACAAAGAAGCATGGAGGCCAAGAGAAAGCTGCTCCCCTGGGAGCAAGAAGGGAAGACAGGGCTGCAGAGAGGGGCAGATGAGAGTACCAGAAGGGCTGGTGAAGAGGTGATCTTTGCCTTTGGAGTTCACAGTCTCTTAAACATCTAAACTGAGTTTCTCAACCTTTTTTCAAAATTTCCCCCCTAAGGAGTCTTTTTTAGACATTTATTTTAAACCAGAGGCCTGGTGCACAAAATTCGTGTATGGGTAGGGTCCTGAGGCCTGACCAATGATCAGGGCCGATCAGTCGTTCTGCTGTTCAGTTGATTTGCATATTAGGCTTTTATTATATAGGATTGTGCCCATCAATGAAAATTTTATTTTATTTAAATATATGTATTTAAATAAAGAAGGTAGGGGGAAAGATAAATAAAAACATCAATAAGGCCGAAACCGGTTTGGCTCAATGGATAGAGCGTCGGCTTGGGACTGAAAGGTCCCGGGTTCGATTCCGGTCAAGGGCATGTACCTTGGTTGTGGGCATATCCCCAGTAGGGGGTGTGCAAGAGGCAGCTGATTGATGACTCTCTCTCATTGATATTTCTAACTATCTCTCTCCCTTCTTCTCTGTACAAAATCAATAAAATATATATTTTTTTTAAATCAAGGAGAATCATTGATCAGCTGCCTTCTGCACAGCCCCTACTGGGGATTGAGCCTGCAACCTGGGAATTGAACCTTGACCTCTTGGTTCATGAGTTGATGCTCAACCACTGAGCCCACACTTCCCAGGCCCACCCATGAAACTGTAATACCATAGAAATACTTTATCTGTTCAATTACCATATACATTAAAAAGACTAAGACCCAAAACAAACAAACAGTAAGAATCTTTTACCCCAATCTCACACCTGCCAGGACAGCTGAGGGGCAGGGTGAAGGAGATTGAACAGTTAGCCTGGGGAAGCCAGAAGCTGCCCAAACCTGGAGTTTTGTTCCTTAGTGTGAACAGGAAACTATTGAGGAACAACATCGAAGGAGTAATGTGACCAGTTCTCAGTTCTCACGTGCTCTCTGCCACTGTGTGGAGGCAGGTACTGTGAGGGTTCACAGAGGCCAGGGGGACCATGGGACAGGTGTCCTGGAGGACAGGTGACTGGACTAAAGCAGGGGCTATGGAGGGGGCAAGAGGCGAGAGTGTTGTGGATTCTGGATGCATGTGAAGGCCGGTGCTGGGAGGGTGGGCTGAGGGTGACTCAGGTCTTACCTGCACAGTGGCAGGCGGGCTGGCCGGCTGCACCTGCTCAGCGCACTGCAGGAAGCGGCGCATCTGCCCCGCACAGTTGCCTGTGGCCGCCTCGTTCTGCCGAAGACACGCCTCAAAGGCCTCGAAGGGCTCCGCACAGGCCTGGCGGATCTGGCGGATGACTGGGCTGCAGGGAGGCACTGCAAGCTCGACTTTCCTAGCACTACCCACCCCACTGTCCACCCCCACCCAATGCCCCACCTCTGGTACTGCCTTGTCCCCCGAATTACCCACTCCTGCACTGGCTCCCCCACTGCCCACCCCCGTGCTGCCTGCCCCTCCTGCACTCCTAGCCCCCTCCGAACTGCCTAGTCCAGGACTGTCCCGCACTCACTGGTTAGAAGTGCATCGAGCGATGTTCATTTTGAGGTGGTGACAGTCCCGTTGCCAGGACTCAGGCTTGGCGGCCACACACTGGCCATACTGGTCCAGCTCCCGGCCGCAGTGGCGGGCAGTAACCTCCAGTGCCGCCTGCCTACGGGACACGAGGGTAGGGGTGAAGAGTGTGAGGTGGGCCCCTGAGTCTGACGATCCAGCCCCGGGGGCCGCGGGGTGCGGTGCCGGGCTATGGAGCTGGCCAGGGGCTTCGGGATTGATGGTGAGGGTCCTTGAACAGATCTGGTCACTCTAATAGCGGTTAGGGTCCGGGCAGAGGGTCCTGGAGCTCAACCACCCAGCTATGGGGCCTTAGAAGTAGGACCCAGAGCTCACTCAGGGGGCGGGGGGGATGGGAGCCAACAGGTGGGTGTGGGGTTGGGTCCCATTGTCTCTGAGCGGAGGCCTGAGGATAGGGCACTGGAGGCCCTCATGGGTCTTAGGGTCCTCGGGGCATGAAGCGCCAAGTAGGGCGGCGGCCCGGGTTCGTCTGGGGGAAGGGGTTCTATATACAGGTGAGCTCTAGAGACAGGTCCGGAGAGCGGGGCAGGGTCCGGAAGGAGTCCGCCGGCCTAAAGGTCTGGGCTCCGGGGTAGATGCGTAGGACTCAAGAGAGAAGGTGGGGTGACCCGGGGGCGGAACGTGGGGCTCCAAGGCCAAGCCGGACCTGGAGTCCTGCTAGCTGCCTGCCTGGCTGTGAGAGTCCTCGGTCCCAGGAGAAGGGGAGCGGGGCTTGGACGTGCGGGGAAGGGTGACGGCGCGGAGTCCGGAGGGTCGGGGGTTCAAGGAACAGAGGCCACCCAGCCTCCAGGAGAAGGTGCGTACGGTAGGTAAAGGGAAGGTGCTCCTGCTACTCACATGTCAAGGCAGGTGTCAGGAGAACCAGTCCGGAGGAGCGCCCCGCCTTTTCCGGTGTCAGGTTGTCATGGCGGCGCCCTCCCCGCCTCGTTTATTCTGTTCACACAGCGGCCAAGCGGCCCTATTGCTTTTTGCGCCAGTCCGTCAAAGCAGGGCCCTATCTCTGCTTCCGCCCGGACCTGCCATGGCGGCACCCTGCCTCTGCTTCCGCCCCGACCTGCCATGGCGGCACCCTGCCTCTGCTTCCGCCCCGACCTGCCATGGCGGCGCTCTGCCTATGCTTCCTGCCTGGCCTGCCATGGCGGCGCTCTGCTAGCCACTTCCGATTCCGGCCCGCTCGGAGGCCACAGCCCTATTTCCGGTTTTCCCAGGCGACCTCCAGTCTGCACCGGAAGTAAATAAAGGGAAGCATGGCGGCAACCCGGCACCTAGGGAAGAGTAGCGCTCAGCGGTGCGAATCCCCGTAGAGAGTGTCCCGCGCCTGCCCTTCGCTGTCGACCCTCAACTCAGGTCCCCGCGGCCCGGCGGGTGCCGTGTGCTGCCGGCCGTGGCCTTACGCCGTCGGTCCTCTCGGAGCGCGGGCTCGGGCGCCGGTGGCGTAGCCGACGGAAAGGGGCGTCGCCCCGAAGCCGGGTCGGGTCTGCGTTACCTGCGGGCGTGAGCGCTGCTGCAGCGGAGCGCACGGGAGTTCCCACCGGCTCCTCTGCGATCCCTCCGGTGCGGGGAGGCTTCCGGGGAGCGAGGTGGGGACGAGCCTGTGTCCAGTGGGGCGCCGGCCCGCCGGCAGCACGCAGAAAGCCCCCGGCTCTGGCCACAGGAACACATGCGTTTCAGAGACAGGCTGCCTGTGAGTCAGACAGCCGGAGCCTCGACACGCTGTCTCTGAAACTGAGGAATGACAGTGACACTTCCCCACGGGCGTAGCCTGCGCCTTGCAGGAGCTGTTCCCGAGCCGACACCTGAGCCGGCCCCGTGACACAGCTTTGGAGCCAACGCACCCAAGGCAAACCTTTCACCCGCCCCCACGTTCTCTTTCCCGCAAAACCTTCCAGGTGGCCTTTCGTGGGAGGGTAGGGGGAGGAACACAGACTCTTCTCTGGGACCTCAAATGTGCACCGAGTCCTCAGATGTCCCCACGTCCTGTGCCTGAATCTCATCCAGAAGTCCAGGTCACGTGCGCCCTATGGAAGGCATAAGGCTGGGCTTGTAAGCAGGTTCTCAGAAGAGCCAGCAGGGGAACTGCCTTGGGAGAGGGTGACACTTGAGCCCCCAGACTTCTGGCTGCCTTTTGGGCTGTGGCTCTCTGGAGATCGAGTGTAAGGGACACGTAGGGTTTCGGGGTTTGGGGTGAAGCAGATCTGAGCCTTGTACTGGTTACTGGTGGGTCCCCACCCAGTCTGGGGCAGGCAGAGAAATAGTGGACTAAATTCGCACAGGTTTGCTCTAAGGATAAGATGACACTCAGGCATCCCCTCTTATGGTATTTACTAAGTGCCACATATGTGCCAGGAGCTGTTTTAACTGCTAGGGAAACAGCATAGAATAAAGCAGTAAAAAATGTATACTGGGGCCATACTGCCAACCTTGTTTGGGCTTGGCATTTGGGGCTAGACACATTTTTTGGGGGGTCAAGCAGAGCAACAGGGACACCAAAGTGATCTGAGTTTTGGTTTGCTGTCTTGGCACTAGAAAGAAATATCACCCTGGAGCTGAACATTCTAGTGGAGGGACAGACAACCACCAAAATAAATAGGAAAGACACGCGAGTGATGATCATTCACTAGGAGAGTGATCATTCTGGGAAGGGAATGAGAAGTGTTGGGACAGTGACCAGAGGTGTGATGTGATTCACAATAAACATATATTTGGTCTTCACCCTCTGGCCCTGGCACAAGTCTCCTGAAGTCCTTAAAATTTCACATGTGATGAGAGCAACAGAGGTGGCTTTTGTTGTCATTGAGGTGACCTTTGGACCTCACTGAGCATAGGGACTGGTCTCCGGAAGTAGCCTTGTGACTAGTGGGTTGGAACTTTCAGTCTCACCCCCTGGCATCAGGGAGAGGGGCTGGAAGTGGTGTAATTAACCCCACCTAGGTAAAGAAGCCTCCATAGAAACCCAAGTAGGTGTGTAGAGCTTCTGGGTTGGTGAACACGTGGAGATCTGGGGAGCATGGCACTCTGAGCCACACTCTGAGCATGGCAGCTCCAAGCGCTATCCCCAGACCTTGCCCTGAGTATTTCTTCCTGAGTCATATTCTACATCTTTTTGTTGTTAATCCTGACCTGAGGATATTTTTATTCATTGCTTTTCAGAGTGGAAAGGGGTAGCAGGAGAGAGACAGAGAGAGAGATGTTGATGCCAGAGAGAACATCTACTGGTTTGTCTCACACATGTATCCCTGCTGCTACTTGGGCCGACAGTCAAACCACTGAGCAAGCACACTTGGTCAGGGCCTTTTATATTTTTTGATTTTAGAGAAACATTAATTTGCCATTCTACTTATTTATGCATTCATTGGTTGCTTTTTTAAAAAATTATTTATTTTAGAGAGGAAGGGGGAGAAACATTGATTTGTTGTTCCACTTGTTTATACATTCATTGCTTGATTCTTATATGTGCCCTGACTGGATAGAATCTGAAACCTTGGCATAATCGGGACAATGCTCTAACCAACAGAGCTCTGCAGCAGGACCCTAAATTATTGTATATATATATTTATAGTAAACTGGTGCTCTAGTGTATAAAACGTTTCTGAGTTTTGTAAGCCATTCTAGCAAATCAATCAAACCCAAGGAGGTGTTCAATCTATAGCTAGTTGGTCAGAAGCACAGCTGACAATTAGGCCTGAGGGCTGCCCCCATCCCACCTAAGAAAGCTTAAGAATGCTACTGGAAACACTGAAGTAAGCCCTGGAGGTTGAAGGAAAATGCCATTAAGTAGAAGTCCAGTATATAAAAATCATCAAACATGGTAAATGTGACGCTATTAAGTAACTTATTTTATAAATCTCTTGAAAAGATAATTGACTGCTTAGAGCAAAGGTAATAATGTATTATGGGGTTCATCACATATAAAAATAAAATGGCATATGCCCTGCCAGTGTGGCTCAGTGCTTGAATGTTGACCTATGAACCAGAAAGTCATGGTTTATTCTAGGTCAGGGCACAAGCCCAGGTTGTGGGCTCAATCCCCAGTAGTGGGCCTCCAGGAGGCAGCTGATCAATGATTCTCTCTCATCATTTATGTTTCTATCTCTCCCTCTCCCTTCCTCTCTGAAAGCAACAAAAATATTTAAAAAAAAAAAAAAAAAGGAAAGAAAATGAGCAAAAAAACAGACATTTCACTGAGTAGAAGTAAATGCAGAAAAGCCCATGAAAAGATGTTAAATATCGTCAACCATCAGAGACATCATTCACACACCTGTCAGAACAGCCTGATAAAACACAGGTGCACTACCAAGTGCCTATCAGGATGTGGAAGAAACTGTCGATCACCTTCATTGCTGATGGGAATGTAAAATGGTCCGGCCATTTTGGAAAACAGTTTGGCAGTTTCTTTTAAGACAACACACCACCTCCACATGGCATTTCATTCTTAAACATTTGTCCCAGATAAATTAAATGTATGTTCACAAAAAACTGTAAGAGCAGCTTTATTTGTAAACACCAAAAACTGGCAACAACCAAAATGTGCTGCTACAGGTAACTGTTGAACACTGGCACAGCCACACAGCAGCAAAAAGGAATGAACAACTGATACAATGCAACAGCTTCAAAGCATCTCAAGGCAATTACATTGAGTGGAAAACACCAATCTCAAGTCACAAACTGTGCTTCTATTTATATAACACTAGAGGCCTGATGCACGAAATTCATCCCTACTGGTGATCTGTGGGGCAAACCAGCATCGTAATTGAGGGACCCCTACTAGCACTTGCCTTGGCAGGCCTGGCACTGCCCACTCGTGGGTCCTGCCCTCACCACGGCCCTTTTACTGGCCAGCCCCCTCTGTGGGGTAACCAGTGAGGTGATGGAAGGAGTGGGGGTGGCTGCCAGAGTGGTGGTGGGGGAGAAGGAAGGACAGGTGCCTCCTGGGCCTTGGCTGGCCTGATCTTGTGTTTAGCGTCTGCCCCCTGGTGGTCACTGTGCTTTCACAGCCAATCTCCTTTGGCCAGTCAACTGCCTATGGTCCCTTCCCATGGCTGGCCCCCATCAGCTCCTGGTGCTAAACCATTCGTAGAC